CTAATATTATGTAAATTGATTCATGTAACAAAAACTACAAAATATATCTTACATATTCATTACAAAACCTGCTTGGCAGATGGCTTCATAGCCTTTCAATGGAAACTATGGAACCACTTCCTCATTCACAAAACTCAAAAACAAGGGACGGAATTGCACCATTTGTGATTTCAATTCATTATAATCTTTTAGCCACAATGAATAGCTTGAATTCTTTGCCACTACATCTATAGACACCTCCTTAGTTTCAACCAACGCGTTTGCATAGCTCGCAAAACTATCTATCTTCTGCCAAAGCAAAGCCAAATGACTCGGATCACTAGTGCTTCTAAGAGCATCTAACAAATCCCTGGCTTCCTCCACTCTTGCCCAGAAGCATGTGTCTTGGGTCAAACTTGCAAACTTGCTCCTTTTATAATCTTCCCCTCTAACACTTCTCTCTTTCCACCACCTATCAAAAATACGATATCTCCTCTCCCTTCCATGGTCAATGTAATGCCCCTTGCTACGATGCATGCCTGTTCGATAATACTCAGCAATATCCAATGGCTCCACAAGGAGCTTATAGAACTGGGAAGCATTGACCCATTTTCCTTGTCTGTAAAAATCATGGGGGAGTTGATTGCTTTCAAACAAGTTTATTACGTTATCCCAAAACTGAGCCAGCTTGTGCCGGTTCAAGTTGACTCTGAAGTCCCTTTTCGAGGCTCCCCTTTGTTTAAAGGAGTCGTAGTAACCCATCTGATCATCAGACCGGTCGCACAATGCTTTATACCACTCTATTTGAGCCCTATAAGGATTGATTTTGGACAGTTTAATTGCCAGATTGGCACAGTTGAGGTTTGGTGTGCGCCCCAATCGCCTAGCAGCCTGTAGGCAAACTTTGGCTGGCCCTGCAGTTGGTTCCTGCGCATTGATTCAAGAAAGAATGACTTCAGAAAGTACGTCCACTTCTCTTAAAATCTATTATAGCACAACAAAACCAAAAGAATACCAATAATTCTGATAGAAAGCGCTACCTTGCAAGACATTCCTGTGGACTGCAAAGCCAATACAATTCCTGCTTCATAGCTTGATTCAGGAAGCTCTCCTTGCATGAAACTCCTCTTCTCCAGAAATTGCAAGGAGATTTTCCCTACGTAATCACCATACTTGAGATGATCCCCAATGCTAGAGCTAGACGTCCCCATCGCGAACAACAAATACATCATTTTAACAACAGATGCTGCATTGTCCACGCAGATTGCTCCATCTTCCGAACAGAAAAAATAGTTCCCAAATGGCCTCAACATTCCAGTCACTGCCTCTTCTCCAGCTTCTACTAATTTTTCCAAGTGAAATAATACATATTTGAAAATTTGAGCCATGCTGTCATCACTTAACGGTACAGCAAGCAATCCAAAATGCGGAGAATTCATATACATGTGCCAAAAATGTAGCAGGGGTTTTATGAGTGGAGCAATGGGATCCATTGGAACAAAGAGCATCCTTGGCATGATGTCATACTTCGATACAACATGGCAAAACTTGCCACCCCATTTTTCGCGAAGAATGGCACGAGAAAGGGTCTCGTTGCCTAGCAATGGAGAGCCAAAGGTGATGCATAATACCGAGAGGTTTAAGAAATTTGATTGAAGGTAAGAGAGGAGCCAAAGAGCAGCAAGAGAAGCAGTTGCTCCACCTACGGAATGGCCTGTGAAGATGATTGACTTGCTTGTCTGCATCAGTGTTTGCATCTGCATACACACAAGTTCACTCTTAAAAAATAAACATGATATCATACAATTTCTTAATTAAAAAAAGCAATAAGAATTGAAGCAAAACTAATTCAAAGATACCACACGCCATTAAATGAAAAAAAGAGAAAAAATGACAGCTTTTTCAAAAGCAAATGATAAATTCTAGAAGTTCAAGCTTCTGCTAAATTTTAGACTTGGTCTAATGTGGCAGCACGTGTAGGGTTGATAGTACCTGGTCAACCATGTGGTCACTAAAGCCCATCACATTCAAATATTATAATAATGGTGGTATCAACAGTGATGGACAGCCCACTTCGGAATTATTCAATTCGAGTCTTCGTTCTCCAGCAACATTGAACGGAGACTGAATTATTGATGCTAGTGCATTATATTTCATTTGTGTACACATGGCTCTAGGATACCTTGATTTGACATGGGTGGTAAAAGCAAATAAAGCAAAAGGTTGAATAAAAACAAATAAAATAAACCAAAGAAGGGGAGAGAATAGAAAACAAAATTAGAAAATCTATCATTTGTAGGAGTGAGATCAAAGAAAATACAGGAATTAAAACAGATACAAACATCAAGCCAAACCCACAAATTATAAACACTACATATTGTTTAAGAACATAAAAGCAATTTAGGAAGAATTATTGAATAAAATATTACAGGATGCAGAAAAATGTTAATAAGAAATATTTTTATAAGTAAATATACAGTTTTAAGATCATTACATTTTTAGTATAATAAATTGTTTTTATAATTTGACTAATTTTTCTATCTTTCTTTTTAAACTACCTCTAAATCCCTTTTAATATTTTTATTTATAATATTGTATAATTATTAGAGTATATATGTGCGTGTAGGATCGAGACTGTATTTCGGGTTCAAAATATGCACAACACTTTCGAATTGGTTATTAGATTATAAAAAGGAAAAAAAAAACTTGGTAAACCATTCTTTATTAGGAATATATTATTTATTATAAATTAAATTTTTTTATATATAATCTTGAATAAAACATTAGAGTTGTGACAAACGACACGGTAATTAATTATGCATTATTTATTTATGTGGTTCGGTCATTTTTTTCAAATAATTTTTTAAAAAAATTGTTTTATGTTATTATTATTGTTTTAATTTTAAAAAAATATTTTGATATGTGAATATTAAAAATAATATTTTAAAAAATAAAAAATATATATTATTTTAATTTATTTTAAAAAAAAATATTTTGATATGTTTTTTAACCTATCAAAAGGGAAAAGATATATTATGTGTATATGCACAGTAGTGCACAAGACATCAAAACACGTTCTGACATGAAAGTCTTCATAGCGATTTCGAAGAAGCTGGCAGCAGATCAGAAGAACTACAGGACAAATATTGGCAGGATTCAGAGCTTTTTGTTCTTTTAGAAAGGCGGGGTTTATAGCTAGGCTCTCAATTTGAGGCGGCTGATAAATATGTGGCTGCTAGTCGGCAGGGAAATGGACGAAAGGCAAGTGAAGTCTACACGGCATAGCAAGAGTGACTTTACCCTCACGATGTATACCCAGCGCCAAGGGATCGAATTGAAGGGATATAAAAACTAGACAAAAGATGACAACCAGCTGCGATTCAAAGCACAAGAGGGTTTTGGTTTTTGTGCTTGTCTTCTACAGACATTCAAGCACATTTTAGTTATTACCAAAGACAAGGTCATCATGATCAGAGATATCCGCCGTCCTATCTTGTAGTGGAACACGTAATGAAGCCAGCACACCTATTTGTTTTTGCTCCATCTGGGGATTGATAGTGATTTGGTTATAGAAACTCACAAACTCCTCTCAACTCAGTTTCTGAAAGTGATCTATAACAATTCATCTAATTTTTAACAAAGGAGATGATAGCTACAAGGCCCGATAACTTTTTCTAGCTTCACTTTTCCTTGATTCCTTTTCCCACGGAGAGCTCTTGTTTGCTTTACAAGGCCAGAAGATGTGGGGGGTGAAACCCTAAGAACTCTTTCCTTGTCCCAACGGAAAGCAAATGTCTTTTATAAAAAGACACCGTGCATAGTGCTGCTGTGAGATTCATCAATTCTTGCCGGCCTCTCTTCTTTTTCTAGTTTCTTTTAGTGGATTATGTTTATGACCAAGCTAACAAGGGAGTCAAAAAGAACCATGTATTTATTTATTGTGATTAAAGTTAATTTTTTTAACCCAATTATTAGCACAACAAATAATTAATGCTTAGTTCTTATGCCTACAGTGAACGAGAATATCTTTTCCCTGGAGTGTGAGATGTGCCAAGCCACTAATTATTATAATGGTATGAATGGAATATTGGTACTTGGCCCTTTCTCACATTTAATGGCCAAAAAGGGAGGCACATACCTGACACACACCATGAGAGAATTGCTAACATCAATGTTGAAATCAAAGCAAGTAATCATAGAACTATAGGCGAGATTTTCATCATTCTTAATACATTTTGTTATTTGTTTTTTAATTTCTAGACCAGAAAACAACATCTGCAATTGGTTTCTTGGAAAACAGACAGAAATCAATCCTCCCATTTTTCATCGATTTTCTTCCCAGCCAAACAGCATATGATTAAGCAACAACACGTACATCAAAGAAGATCATCACCAAGGAAGAGAACTAACCTGGTTTTGAAAGCTTGGGTCCTTATAAATATTCTCAAAGATCCTCAGCAAGGCACCTTGCACCAAGACTGGCTCTTCCCCTTCAGTTTGGCGATGCAATGGAGTAAACATGCTATTGGCAACATCAGGCAAAGGAAGCAGATTCTTGAAACTGGGGTCTGACCCTGAAACCGATTCGATACCAGAAAAGGCCAAATACCCAATACTTCCAATCTGTTCTGCTACAAAACCCTGAGGTGAATTTGCATTGGCAAGATTACAGAGCCTCCATGACTCGGATAGCAATGGTGTGGAAGCTAAGAAATTGGCCAGCATCTCACTAGTCTCAAACCTGCCAATATTGAATGTCAATCAAGAAAAAGATGGTTAGTAATTTAGCCTACGAGATGAATACAAGTTTTCCAGTCCAATTCTTGAGCGAAAGAGGGATTTGTGAGTGAGCACTTACGATGAAGTTTCTGTGTCCATGGAAAAATCAGGCTTAAGAGAAAGATGGTGTTTGAGGTCGAGTCTTGGGGTGCTGAAACATAAGGGGGTGTGGTCTTGTAATGGTGCAGGTTTTGCTTGTTCTCTTTATAACAAGAAAAAAAACGAATAAAAAGGTGGGGAAATAACATTTTATTTGGTCCCTAAAATTTGTACTTTGACCATCTTGATCCTGAAATCTTGTATATTAAAATTATGAGCACACCGAATCTCGTTAAACGCCGATGAAAGTCAACATAATATTTCTTTACCAGAGTTGATTGTGTTTAATTTAATAATATTTTCCTTCAAAAAAAAGAAATACATTGTTTTATCTCTCCGTATTATTCTTTTTAATATTTATTAAAACAGAAAGGGGGATGAATTGGGGGAATGAAATGAAATGAAATGAAAGGGATTGGGTTATAAATAAATTAAAAGTATAGTGAGTTCTGATGAAGTGCAAAGTCTTCTGATTGGATGGTTTGTTGTTATTATTTTTTTCAAGTCAATTAAAAATATAGCGAGGTGTCGGGCGGGTTCAACGAGTGACCAGCCCCGCATTTATTTATTTTTATATTTCTGTGACATACAGAGTCGGACTTTAGGAATCCGCGTTTCAAAAAGAGAGGGCTGAGACCATCCGTGTGTGTGTGTGTGTGTGTGTGTGTGTGTGTGTGTGTGTCTCTCTCTCTCTCTCTCTCTCTCTCTCTCTCTCTCTATATATATATATATATATATATATATATAGAATAACACGTGAGCTAAGAGCGGTTATCGGTAGGCAAACGCGGTGGCGTTTGAGATACGAGAAGGTTTTTAAAATAAAATCTTTATATTTTTTAAAATTTATTTTTAATATCAGTCTACCATAATAATTTAAAAATATTAAAAAATATTAATTTAAATAAAAAATAAAAATATTCTTTATTTTATTTTTAAATATTTTATTTATCTTCATAAATTATTTCAATTTATTTTTTATAAAATTATTATAATCTTAAATAAATATCTTGATTTTTATTTTATGTTTATTTTTATAAATATTTATTTGCTAAGTAAATAATAATTAAAAAGTAATTTTTTAAATCAAGTAGTGTTCACAATTTAGATTGTAAATTTGATTAGTTAGTCTATAAAATTTAAATTAATCTAACATATAGTCATCTAAATACCCAAAAAAAAATTGTTTTAATTTTTTAAAATCAAATTATATTTTTTATTGATTATCTAAATTATATTGAAATTTATTAAATTAATTATGTTATATTAAAACACTTTTACATTATATAATTATAAATATACGCTAAATAAGAAGTTGAATGGAAAAATTTTAAATCAAAATTTTAATGTCAACACGTTGAACCTAATTTAATGATGGTATCAATCAATTCTCTTCTGCTAGAATAATTATTTTAGTTTAAAATTTTTCTAAATCAAGTCAAAGAGCCAACCAATGAACTAGTTGTAAGCTAAAACAAGTTATTCATAACTAAATTGGTGACTTCAAGCAAAATTATTTTATTGTTGCTTATTCTATGATTTTCATGGCCAGCAAAGAGAAAGGCATGGATGTCTAGGGGTGCGTGAGGAAGAGTATTTTTTATTTATTAATTATGAGTATTTAGACCTTAATTAATTTTATGATATTTTCTAAAATATGTGATCCTCAAATTAGTAATATTTAATAAATAAATTTAAAACTTATATCTTTTAAAATTAACAAGGAAGGGTTATTAGGGTAGCTGGTTTGTCTCCTTTTCTACCAACCAATTCAGAAAAAGTTATGGTTAGATGAGATTGCTCGGTCCCTCTACTATTTTGATTCTTCCAATCCAGCCCCTCGTCAATTTATGTGTTAACCAACCTGAACCTTGTACCTTGTTTTTCTTCTTTGAATTTAGAACTTTCATCCAAGTCAAATAATAAGTCTGACCAAGCTGTCCACGTGTCATTTAAACAAAAATGAGTAACATATATTTTTGTGAATACAATCTAAAACAATCAAAGCGAAAGAAATAAAGGCCACTCTCCCCTCCCTTGAGAAAATCGTTCCCGTAACGAAAATAATGAATTGCGAGGGCAACATTGAGAAAAGAAATTGAAGAGGGACTGTACTGATAAAATCAAAACAGTAGAGGGACCAGTGAAGATGAGATGGTACAAACCCATCTTTGGGAGGCAGCCTGCCAACATCATTTACAGACTAAAAGTAGAAAAAGGTTCAAAATTTAAGACAGAACACGGAAAGACTTATTCTCCGATCTCCACAACGCGTCTAGTTATGTTGGTGAGGGCACTGAATTAGTGGGGCTGAGATCTCAACGCCAAGGATCTGTCGGGAGACATGTTTTGGATTCTTAGACTGGGTCATGGCAATATTCCTTAATCAACAAAAAAAACCAAAAACATTTTGATCATGAACAGACACGTGCCCAGTTAAGTTAAGAGCACTGGTTTGATCTCTAAGTGTTCAGTGGGCTAAGTTACAGAATGTCCCGCTGATGTGACTAATCCGTTGGGGTTTAGTTGTAGTTGTTTCTTTCCAAAAGTTTCTAAATATAGCTTCTCAGGATAACAAATGAAAGTGGTTGCTATGTTTGAATCATACGGGAAAAAAAAAAAAAAGAGACAACGATTAAAAACAGAAATATATATTACAATATGACAGATGAAAAAAAAATCAACAAAAAAAAGTTAGTGTGAGTCAGCACAATAAATATATAATCTGGATATTAAAAGAAGAATTAATTTGAATTAATTTTACAAACTCACGTTTTAGATTATGAGATCAGAACAATTTTATATAAAAATAAATTGAAGAAGGACACAAAGCTCTTTTTTAAAAAATATTAAATAATCATATTAAAAAAAAAAAATACCAACTCTTATTCACTTTTCAATTTTATGACCCGAGTCATTAGACTGAAAATATTATATGTATGAAATGAAAAGTGTAAAACTTAACCCCTTCAATATTAACCATTGGCAAATGAATTGAAAAAAATTAATTACTAATAATCTTTGATAGTAATTAAGAGAATGAGAATTAAAATCAAAATCAAAAATAAATTAAAATATAATAATAAATTTTTAATTTGAGAGTTAAATTAAAAAGAATAAAAATATTAGAAGGGGGGGAACAAGAATGAGGACTAAAATTTTAAAAAAAATACACTATAAACTTAGATTGAATGATAAAATTAAAAATAATATAACTTTTATAAAAGGGTTTAGGAAAGAAGTAAAAAATCAAAAAAATAGGAATCAAATTAAAAATATCAATACATGATATAAAGAAAATTAAACATATGGCTTTTTCAACATGTTTTTTTACATAAACAATTCCTAAATATAAATAAAAAAAACTTATACTCGTATCTAATTAAATAAATTAAGAACAATCATGTAAATAAATAAATAAAATTATTAACAATAACTAAAAATAAAATTAAACAAATTGAGATAAAAATAGATCAAGATATTTAATATTGCATCACAGATTATTTACCCGGTTGAGTTTAATAATTTTTTTATTAAAATTATTTTGTAATTGAAATTAATACACATATGAAATTTATTGAATAAAATAAAAAAATATTATACAAAGTTGCACATATGAAAAATATTATAAGAAAAATAAATATTTTTTATTTTTAAAAATAAATTATATATATATATCCTAAATGAATTATACTAAGTACTAGCCTCTTCAAAAATTAAATATATCTAATATGATTAAAAAAAAACCACTATTTAAAAAATACTAAATAAGCAAAAACAAAATCACAAAGAATTAGTATTAATTAAAATATAAATTTAAAAATTATTTTTTAAAAAAAAATATTAATTTTTTTTAAAAAAAAATCATACATTGCTTGGCCTAGTGAGATAAACAACGCGTTTGTCCCTCCAAGAAAAGACCTATATGTAGGCCTACAAGGCCAGATTCATGTGCACCAGCTTTTAATTTTTTTAAAAAAAAATTTAAATCCATAAAGCCTTTTAATTTTTTTAAGAAAAAAATTAAGTAACCCTATAATTATAATAAAAGAGGTTAATTATACAAAATAAAAATTTAAAGTCTAAATTAAAAATTATATGAAAAAATATTTATTATAATTTATAGTGATTTTTGTAAGGATGAATAGTGTTTAACATTATAGTAATTTCACCAACCCTTTCAATTTCTTTTAATATTTACAGGGAAGGGACTTGTTGACCTTCAAATTAAGTATATAGTAGCCTATTTACAACAATTAGTGTACCATATTAATTTAATAATTCGTCAATTTAGGGTCTAACCAGCATTGAGTTAAAGAAAAACTTTATTTTTATTAAAATAATATTATTTTAGATTTATTTAAAAATAAAAAAAAATAGATCAATCCAAATCGATCCCGACCGCTAGCCGAATTTTGAATTGGATCAACTCTCCGTTGTAACTCTACATGTGCATAGGAGAACTACCAAGATGGAGGGTTCATTTTGACGTGTCGGTGGTTGGATGCATGATGTGGACGTGCAGGTAGATATTTTCTTTATTTGGTTTTATGGAAGGGTATCCTAAATAAGTGTTTTTAAGAAAATAAAATAAAATTTATCTCCTTGCTTTAGTCAGATAAACAGTTACAAAAAAAAAAAAGTAATCTATGTTTTATAATTTGATCTGAGATTTAAATCCTAGTAGTTAAGGAAGGAATACATCTTCTTAGTCATCATATTAACCTCCTTAAGTTTCTTAATTGTCAATGAATTTAAATACAGTGGATCCAATCTTGTTATTTTATTGAAAATTCAATGGTCCTAATGGTCAAAATATCTGTCACGATCTAGAATTTTTTCATAATCTTAGCTGTGAATTTTGTTTTGATCAGCCAATTCAAACTTTTGAATTTATGCGTGATCTTAATCTTGCCTTTTTCATTTAGAATTTATTAGACAGGTGGCCCTGATATGTCGCGGGCAGGTAAAAGTTTTTTCCAACACTAAAAAATGATATTTACAATGTGATAATATGAGATAATCTAGATTAAATTAACTAAAAATATAATTTGGATATAAAATTAAAATAACCTTAAAAAAATTTATAAAGTTAAAAATTTAGTAGCCTAATATATATACACATTCCTTGAAGAAGAAAATCCAAATTAGATCAGGGTAACTTGATAGTGTAACAACATGTGATATAAAATTAAAATAAAAAAGAATATTAAAAGGATGAGCTAATAAAAAACAAGAGTTTAATAAAAAAAATATTTAAAAAACCTTGAGTCATCTCTAGCTAACGTTACCAACCTGCTCTCATAATAACTAAATGCTAACGTTACCAACCTGCTCTCATAATAATTAAATAAAAAGAAAAGTAAAAAAAATAACAAAGCTCAAAGACTAACAAATTATTGTAAAATAATGAAATTGAAAAGCAAATATGCCATAAAAAATGGAGGAAAAAAAATTCTGAATCAACCCATGTTAATTCAAATAACCCGCTACCCACAATATAAGATCGGAATAAAAAAAAATAGATTTCTAAAAGAAGGACCCAACAAAAAAGTCCCACACTAAAAAACAAAATACTAAGAACAAAAACTTAAGCTAACTTGAGTTAGCTTGACTAACCCGTTCTTGAAATAATAAAATAGAAAGTGAAGTAAAAAAATGACGAAGCTCAATGATAAAATTTTTTATGCAAAATAATAAAATTGAAAAAAAATTCTAGTTATAAAAAAATTAAGAAAAAAAAACTGAGTCAACTTAGGTTAACTCGACTAACCCGCTCATCGCTCACAACATGAAATTGGGATAAAAAATTAGACTTTGAAAAGAATGACCTAGCAAAAAAGACCGATGTTAAATTAAAAAAATATTGAGTAACAAAATACAAGCTAACACGGGTTGACTGGATTAACACGCATTCAGGATAGCCCAAGAGGTAAGAAAAGTGAATAAATCATATAACTCAAAGGTTAATAATTTAACAAAAAAATATGAATTTGTAAGAAAAATAAATGTCATAAAAACATCTAAGTAAAAAAAATATAAGGTAACCATAATTAACTTGATTAACCTATTAGTTGGAATATAAAACCGTGATAACTCAACATAAAAAAAAATACAATAAAGCTAAGGGTTTAATAACCAAACAACAAATAATGGTTTTTTTTTTTAAAAAAATTATTTTTTAATAAAGATTTGCCCTTGGAAGACAACCACTAAAAAATAACAAAATAAAATATTCAATCATAAAATAATTTAAAAACCAAATAATGCATATCAAATATGGTATAAAAAATTAAAGAAGGTAACTAGGGGTTAACTTGTAAAATAATAATAAAAAAAATTATTGAAAGAATAATGACCAAAACTCGATAGAAAACCAAATGAAATTAAATGTTGAGGGACAAAAAAAAGATATATCAAGAAAATAATAAGAATATAACAATTAAAAGAATAAAGATAAAAATTAATTAAAAAACAAATGCAAGAAAATGAGAAGGGACAAAATTGCAAGAAACAAATAATAAAAAATATAAAACACAGAAATATAGCAACTAAAAGCAGAGAGATCAAACCATATAAAAAAATTAAATAAAATAACTAAGGATTAAATTGAAAAAAACTAAAGTTTAAAAAGATTTAAAAGCCAAATGAACAATAATTAAAAGAAAAAAGACCAAAATCTATTATAAATCACAGCACAATTGTTTTTTTAAAGTTCAAGCATGATTTTTTAAGGAATGAGAACAAAAAGATAGAAGAAAGAAAAAAATATTTATCTCAGCCTAACCAATTTTTTTTTATGAGTAAGTGTCACACCACTGAAAAGAAAATGATGCATCACTTCTAACATCGACATGCAAACAAATAAATTCATTTTTTTTTTTGTTATTGCATGGGCTCCAAGACATCACTTGAATTTATTTGTTTTATTGGTAATTATTTTTTGAAATATTTATTTATTGGACCAAACAATTATGAGAATCATGAAAGAAAATCTCAATAAAACATAAATATTTTCATAAAACATAAATATTTTCATAATCATGCAGTGGATTAAAAATATAAAAATAATACATTGCATTTTTTTATAGACTATTTTCATTGTAAGCATGTGTTAATTGAAATTTTTTCTTTGGAAGTACAAAAAAAATTAAAATTAAGAAAAAAAGCGAAGAGAAGTCATGACAGACTGGTAAAAAAATCGCTTGATAATTTTATTAAAAATATATCATGTTAACATTAAAAAAACATTTTTTTAATATATTAATTTTTTATTTCAAAACTTTAAAAGGAGGTGCAGTCCCAACTGAAAACTTTATGTCTTGGAATTAGACCCAAAAAGTTAATTCTAAAAAGAAAAAAGTCTAAGAATAAGTTTTTTAAAAGAAAAAGAAAAAGAAAAAGGGGGAGTTTCTTCATTGTCCTACAAACAATGAAGCACCATAAAAAAAACCCGGTTTTTTTAAGCTGTGATGGTAATTGCCTAACAATAATGGAGAACCAATCCCCATTATATTAGCTAGAAACACTTGCTTAACGCTTGGGGGAGTCGGATTTGGTTTTGTGAGGAGATTCAAGACTGGGTAAGAAGTCAATAACTTTGTAGTTAATTTATGTTCTTGTACATGCCGCCATCACTGTCTAGCCATTTCTGTCTCGACAGTTCGTACATCGCGCCTTAGATTTGTTCATTACTAGAAATACAGTGAAGGGGATGGATGACACATGCTCTATCTTTATCACTATAAATTTATCAGTGCCGCTGATGCCAAACTAGAAATCACCAGGCCAGACGCATCGTCCTGCTGAGATGATTCTTCCCCCACCAAGAAAGGCAATCTTTGATCGCCATCCGCGCTGTCTGAAGTCGGCGGCATGTTCGACACACAAGCCGGCAACTTTTTATTTTTAAATTGTATTTCTATTTATTAATTATTAAATCACTCCTCATTCAACTTAATTATTACTAAAAAGTCAATATAAAAATACAAAATAATTTTTGAATTTTAGTGTAATAAATTTTAATTTCAAAGATAACTTAATCATTTTATTTTAATCAGTTTTTGCTAAAGATCAGGAAAATGTTTTCCGGAGTTGAGAGAAGGAAAACACTTTTCTTTGTAAATGTTTTTCTTTTGATCAAAACTAGTTTTCATTAATGAATTTTTGTAAAGTTAAATAGCCATGAAAGAATTTGAAAAATGATTTAAAAAAAAGTTGTAAAACAAACCGCCCAAGGGGCATTTCAATAACCGTGTGCTCTTTTTGTTGCTCTGTCCTGTGGCATGGCTTGTGGAATAGGTTTTTGGGATTTGTGGGTACGATGGAGGACATTGTTAATGTTTTCAAGGAGGGGCTAGGGCTATGTTGCGGCGGTGTGGGGGTATATGGAAGGAGGGGAATGCTAGGATTCTCAATGACTCTTTTCATGTTCTTTAGCTCTCACGGTGGTCTCTCCAGCTGATACCCAACCAGACTACAAATTGAAAGCTGGAAACATTGTTTGCTCTCTGGGAACGGGGGGAAGATGGGCAGTTAGGTGGAAACATTGTTTGCTCTCTGGGAACGGGGAGAAGATGGGCAATTAGGTCATGGGGATGACTGTCTTCCTGGTAGGTGAATCCTCAAGCAACTTTTTTTAATTTTTTTCCAGAATAGGAAAAGATTTGAGAATAACCATTCAAAATGTTTTCAGTACCTCGTTTTTGTTCCCGGGAAATTTTAAATATTTATCACCTAATCTCTTCTAGATTGCTAGAGTTTTACTGGAGAGTTTCTTCGTGAAAAAATTCCCTCTTAACCATTGATTCTGTAGTGCGGGGAAACATTTTATTCATTGTGTTTTTGCCTGTATCGATGAAGTTGGGGGCGGAATCAAAATGGTCATCTTGGTCTTGGCACCAATGAGGACTCTCTTGTGCCTCAGAAAATCCAAGGCTTTCAGGCACTCAGCCCCCAAGAAGAAGAAGAAGAAGAAGAATTGCACAGGATAAACACAAATGCATGAATAATTAGGTGAATCTCTTGTAAGAACCAGTAAACCTAAAGTGCTGTACCTGAAAGGTAATTGAGAATCATTGGTTGTTTGAGAATGAAATTGATTGAGAATGAATGAAAGGTAATTTATTAATAATTTTTTTTTAAATTTATTAAAATAATAAGAAATAAATCTTACAAATTAAAAAGTTGATCAAAAATGAAATTGAAAAAAAATATAATTTTATAAATTATTTCAAATAAAATAAATAATAATTAAAATAATAAAAATAAAATCTAAAAAATAAAAAAATAAAAGATAAAGAAATTAAAATAATAATAATTAACCTTTCATAAATTATTTCAAATAAAATAAGTAACAATCAAATGAATAAGAATCAAAGTTAATATAAAAATGAGGATCAAAGTTAATATAAAAATTAAATATTAAGAGATAAATTTAAAAAATAAATATTCAAAACAAAATATATAAAGTAATTAAAAATTTGAAGATCAAATTTGATATAATCAACAAATAATATAATATTTTTAAATTTTTCATAACTTTTATAAAGTGTTTTCCGTTAAATTTTTTTGGAAAAATACTTTTCTGAAAATAAAATAAAATTTTTATTTAAATAAAAAGTATTTTTTGTTGATTAATTTTACTAATAATAAATAAATATATAAAAATTTTAAAAAATAATTTTTTTTTAAAAATAAACCGGAGTAGTTTTTCCCTTCTTGTGCCCAGTGGAAACAGAGCCTTGCAAATGTAAAATTAGTTAAGAGTAGATATGTGCAATCACAAAAATTTCTTACATTCATGCGCACAATGTCTTGCATATTATTAGAATTCACTTCTCTTTGACATGGAAGCTTGTAGAACTGTTTCCCATTCCACTTTTATTTATTTATTGCATGGCTTAATTAATTGTATCTCTACTTGTATATGTCATTTTTGTTCTTAAAATATTGCTTATTGGCTGGCGTGTCTCTTCCCGTGTACAGTTTGGACAGGTCGGAGATGGTGACTCGACCTTGTGATTACTTGCGTTGGAGCTCAATTGAGGCGAGTTTCAGCTAGAACATCTTGTGATTTCTGCATCGTACCATCCCCCATCCACTTACTGGTTGGAAGAAACTCACATCGAGTTTTGCACCACTGAATTATAAGAATTCCCAGAATATGTACACACAAATAATGAAATCTTAAAAACTTTTACGACTTCCTTTGAATACCGCGGTGATGCTGACAGCCTTCCTTCTTGCAGACAAAGGCACATCGAGTCTGTTTACTTGAATTTGGATATGCAAGTAAAACTCCACCTTAGCTTCTTCGATCCAACAACACAAGCTATTGTGGTGATGTGTTGAAAACCAAAACTTCTTTAGTTCTCGCTTCCTTCTCTTTATAATGAGTTGAGAACATGATTTGCAGATTTCTGGTTTGCCCTTGGAAACTGACAATTTGCAGAAATTTGTTTAAAAGATCGACATATGGAGGTCATTTTTCTTTACTTTTCTCAATAAGCGTTGGCTGTTTTTCATGAAAGGACGATAAACAGGATGTAGTTCCCAAATTATTTGAGGATGGATCAAATGGATAAGTGCTTCTACAGTGATGATGCATGTATTTGTGGATGCGTTTCTCAGTTAACCCTGAGTTGTTGTTCATGTGGAGTGAATTATGCATGAAGTATGACAAACTTCACTTGTGTCTGCAATGGAAGTGCCCATTAACACATCCAGTAGTATTTAATTTTGGGCCTTGCCTCCCTGGGCCGATGTAATTCATTTGGCTTACAAACAAGTATTTTTTTTCTCGTTAATTTCAATCAATACACCGGAAAAGGTCTTATGATTTCAATAGTTTTAGTTGAAATATGTTTTGTAGAATAACATCTAGTGCACTAGCATATTTTGCTGCGTTTTCTGACAAAAATCTCTAAATTTTATCCGTCGGAATTCCAAAGAAATTATACCAAAGGTCATAGAAGCTCTGAGTGTTGATGGATCTGGTGGCCACCAGATCGAAGCTTCAACTGTTGATCCATCATCAGGTGATGTGTTGTCCCCATAGCCTCTTCTTACATTTTAACTTCACAATGGTTTTTGTTGCTTATTGTTGTTAATATTAGTATTTTCTTTGTAATTTGTCTGTTGCTTGCTCTAATCCTCTTGACAGAGAAAACCTGGGTTTCACCATCTGAAAGATATATACCACTGTTCCTGATGAATCTGTAAGTTCGCATTTCTAAAATTTCAACAATCATAGTTGGGACACCAAGTTGGACAGGCGTAAATTCACCTTCTTTTGTCACCATTTTGACAAAAGGCATCAATCACATGTAGCAGCATGGTAATGATAATAAAATGGCTGCTGTCATTTAGCATGCCCTAAAGGACTGTAGGTGGCCCAGCTTGTAGATATCAAAGAACAAAGAACAAAAATAAAAAAGAAAGAAAAGACATTGTCACCAAAGGAAATTGCTTCTAGGAATTCAAGCTAAATTTTCTATTTCAGGATTGAATTCGCAATGTTAATTAGTGTTTGACACATGAAGCATACACGTGGAAATCATTGCGATTGTATAATGTTGTTATAAAAACACATCTCAGGATATCAAAATTTTTATCATAGTCAAAATATTTACATGGTCATTCCTTCAATAACAGTTATGATTTGTTCTTCCTTTTCATGTTATTTTTTAGCAGTACTTTTCAAAGACTTACTGTAATTTTAACAATCTTCAAACTAGTTTTGATTAATGAAGAGTGCATATTTTGAAGGGGAAAAAAATCAATGCAGTGAGTTTGCAAGAACACTTCCTATATGTTCTGCATTTGAAAAGTGTGCATAGAATGAAATGTCAGATAAATCTCCATGCCAGAACATGTTTTTCAAAGCTTCTTAGAGTGTTTAGTAATGTTTTTGCTCAAAAGAACCCAAATTAACAGCCATCATCACCACAATAATGATGATGACAACAGTGGTGTACTATGTGATATCTCAAGATTTTAATCTTTACTTGCTGTGTATCTGTTGGTTCAGAGGCAAACAGTTGCGTTTGGGGGTAATGGGAATGATGTCAAACGGATGCGGATTTGATTACTCCAGATCCATGGAGCACCAATAACCTTTTCTTCCGTCCCCGAGCTTCCATTATCCGTCTTTCTGAACCAGGCAATGCCTGAACTGTCATATTTTGCACTCTTATTACCGCTGAATGTAAATTCTTCCTGGACAGAACGTTGTTTTTGGTTATAAATTTATTGAGAGGAAATATATTTGACTCTGCAGATTCAACTTTTTGTTCAAAAGCCAACTGACCAGGCAAAAAGGAACCGCGATTCAGCCTGGTTTGTTCTCCTGGTGAAACTATCCATGTTGATCGGCGTGTCCCTCTATGCATACACAGGAATATTTTTACAAAACCGGTTCCTATGGCTGAGCAGTATTTCATTTTGCATGCGAAATGATGGCTATTGACAGAAATCTGTCTCCATTTTTCTCTAGTTTCATCTTATCAACATAAACAAAGCCGACAAATGCGCCCCTCAGTTGTACATATGATCTTAACAACGTTCCGCGCTAGCCATTTAGTCAAGATCCGCATACATACATATATATATATATATATATATCTCGACTAATATTATAGATTTTAAAGTTAATTACCATGACTTAAATTTATAATTATTAAAAAGCAAATCCAAGATGTAATCAATTAAGTTATTTTGAGATGAAGAATATATTGATTTTACTGAAATATTCTTCCCCATATCACTTATAGAAGCTCTTGCAAAAGATGAGATTTTTCTTAAAGGTGACTGGAGAAGAAACTTTAGTCAAAATTGGCAGCATTCTAGCCATTGCTATATATGAACAGCTCTTGTAAAACAATTCAGTCGTCAAGATTCCTCCACTACCTATTACAGATATTTTTTTTCCCCTTGTGTCTGTATTTTATGTATTTGTTGAATTATTCTTTCCTATAACTGGTGGCTCAGAATACAAGAAGCACTTTCGGTGGCCGTGATGCTGTTTATTTGTCATAATTATTAGGTTTTCTTTTCTTTTATACCGTCCAAAATGCCTTTCTTTTCATAGGTTCAAGAACACTCTGATGTTCGTCTGAAATTAAAAAACAGAATAAAAAAACATACATGTTCATCAAGTAGCATCTTCTGATTCTGTCTGGCCTTTTCCTTTTCCAGTAAAGGGGCATGCATTTGATGGGTTTGACACGTTGCAACACGCTGGTTTTACTTTTCTGGGAAATATAGAGATGATGGCAAAAGTATAACTAAAAGTAAAAACATACAGTTGAGCTGTTCTCAAACTTTCAAAACTAGTCACAATCTCAAAATAAAATAAAAACTAAATATAAAAAGAGGGGAATATGTTTGGTTGGTGAGACAAGATGAAGGCATGGAATAAATTTGTCTAATTTTGAAATGAAGTTTCGTATGTGAAAACAAGAGATAAAGGAAATATATCCTGTGTCTTTTTTCTTTTTTTTTCTTAACCTTGAGCTAGTAACCAAACGTCACTCAATTGATACAAAAAATTATAATCATTAAAAACAGGGGAGAAAAAACTTATAAATTTACCTTTTGATTATTTATTTGAAAATTACCCTGGTAAATTTCAAAAGATTCTCGAATTTCATATATTTTACTAAATAATTTTACCGTACACTTTTTTTTGTGGAACTAGTTTAATGCTAATCAAAATACTTAACCTTCGATCATATCAATATTTTATATGTTTGATCAATTCCTAATCTATCAGTCATTATTAGTCATCAGTATGATGCAAAGAGCATATCCATTTACTGATCAGGCCAAGCCTTGGAGGATTATGGAATTTACATGTGATATTAAATTAATAATAATGTCTAGATTTGATGTTTTAGAATTGACAAAGGTGGTAATGAAAACTGATGTTGAATTCCTTATGCAAATTACAATGTCCTAAGACACTTGGAGCAACACTAATTGAAGAGAAATCAACATAAAATTACAAATGATGAACCACATAAACACCACCCACTTGAGAATTTTCAGTCCTTTGTTTCAAGAACAATTAAGTTCAAGATGCAATCTTTCGCTTTCAGCTAGCTTGCCATGGTTACTCAACAAATCATACAACCACCGGTTTAATAGCTTGTCTTGAACGGCTTGTAAGCCTTAAGGTCAAGCACAACACCAGCAATTGAGCCTGCAACAGCCACAAGTGAAATCACTAGGCAAGCCATGCTCAGCATTTGGAGACAAATCCATCTTGTGCTCCATTTTGGTATCTTCTTTTGTACAATGTACATCTCCACTGGAAAATAGACTGTCAAGGGCCAAAAACCAAGTGCACCGAGAATTCCCACAACATCATTAAAGAATGGGAGCAACATTGATATAACAGTGGTCAACAACACAAATATTGTTCTCCAAACCAATCTAAACAGATTCAGATTGTATGGCCTAAAACCTGGGACTGGGATTCTGAATTCCTTGGTGATGAAGTAATTTTCAGGCCATTTTTGGTTTGCCCATTTCTCGATGAAAGCAAAGAGAGGTTGGCAAAACACTTGATATGCTCCAATCAGGTGGATTACTATGGCAACGTTGGCAATATCAATAAGCCAATATGGGTTATAGAAACCAAAGCCAGTGAGGAGATTTCCAGGAGCTTGCTCTCCAAAAGCTGCATATCCCATGCAACCACAAAGCATATAGAAAGTTGTTGTCACCACGATGCTTATCTTCGCAGCTTTCTTCATTGTCTTTGATTCTGCTGGTGGAGATTTAATTGTGTCCTGTAAAGCAAAGAAAATAATGCTAAATCCCCCAAAAAAAATTCACATCGGCTAGCCAAAAAAAAAGGGGCTTTGATATTAAGTGATCACACAAATATTGTTCTCCAAACCAATCTAAAGAGATTCAGCTTATATAGCCCATAGCCTGGGACTGCGATGTTGAATTCCTTGGTGATGAAGTAACTTCCAGGCCATTTTTGGTTTGCCCATTTCTCAATGAAAGCAAAGAGAGGCTGGCAAAACACTTGATATGCTCCTACTAGGTGGATTACTATGGCGGCGTTATCCTCCATATCTTTTCAGTTTCGGTTACGGTTCCAATGCTTATCCCAGTTAGACTACCCTTAAAAGTTCCATTAGCTGCAAGCCAGTGAAGATATAGAATTGTAGAGTTCCATTAGCAGCGCAAGTTAGAGATGCATTTCGGACAACTAAATAAGGAAATAAAGACACTCTTTGTCGGACGGAGATACTTATAGTTAAAGCAAATATATACCTGCAACTTTGCCAATGCCAAGGCCAAGACCAATGGTAGAGTAAGTAAAAGACATGACCGCCACAAAGCATATAGAAAGTTGTTGTCACTACAATGCTTATCCTGGCAGCTTTCTTCATTGTCTTCGACTCTGCTGGTGGAGATTTAACTGTGTCCTGTTACAAAAATAAACAAAAAAATGCCGAGTTACTCAGAGATTGTCCATATTGACTAAGAGAAAATGAGGTTTGATATTAAATGATCGTACATACTTGAATTTCTATAAGAATGACAGAGTATGAATATGCGAAGGCTATGGCACCAAGTGCTTGGAAACTCCTCCATATCTTCTCTGTTTCGGTTACGGTTCCAATGCTTATCCCAGTTAGACTACCCTTAAAAGTCCCATTAACTGCATACCAGTGAAAATAGATGAGCTTAGAGTTCGATTAGTCACAGGAGACTCGTTGTGGGAGTTAGTCCCTCAATATGGTATAAAAGTTGGATTTAACTAGAATAGTCCCTCAATATGGTATAAATACCTGCAACTTTGCCAATGCCCAGGCCAAGACCAATGCTAGAGTATGTAAAAGACATGACGGCGGCAACGATAGAGAGCCACCATAGCTGATCAAAGTCTGGAATCTGAGAAAGTAGAATTTCTGTTATACCAAACATGATCATGTATGGGTTGCTCGAAATGTGACATGGGTTCTGTCCACCGCTTTGATGGAAACAGTTTGACCTTTTAATTGCCCTGCCAGTAACCATGAACCAAACTTATCAATCAAGCTTTAAAGAAAACTAGAAAAAACAAAGAAGTTAATGGAATATTTGTAAAGAGACCAACTCACATCATGCTTATGGATGATGCAATGGTGTAACCAATGGCAATACCAAATAGGCCGATGTACTGAACAAGGCCACACAAATTGACTTTTACTCCTCCTGATAAGCATTGAAGACAAGAGAATTTTAATATTGGTGAAATAGAAGAAAAAAATGAAACATTCCAATATGGTCTATATTATTAGGGTTGCAGTATTATGTATTTTTTGAATGTTTGGACAAAAGAAGTTTATTTTTATGATACCAAGAATGGATTGAACAGCGTCCATGTATGTATAGTTTCTTTCTCCTGTATAAGGATCGCCAGTCCGGTAACAGTCAGTGAGTAGAGATGAGGTATAGTATGTAACCAATGAGAACAAGAACATCACAGCAGGACCAGCAATCCATCCTAGTTGAGCTATAGCCCATGCCAAGGAAAGCACTCCTGATCCTATCACTGCTGTTATTATGTGGGAGCTAGCGGTCCATAGAGTACCTGAAGACACAAACCAACCAACAAGAATATGAAATGTTTTCTACCTGAACAAAGTTTTCTACATGAGACAGAGTGAAAACAGGGCAGAAACAGGGGAAGGATGGAGAAGATTACCAGTTCTTTTAAGGCGGCCATCATCATCGTAGCACTTGGAACCATTTTGAGGGAGCACGTCAACGGAGACGTCAAAGACTTGGTGATGGTTGTGGAGGTGGTGGTTGTTGTGGTAGTTCTTTGAGGCAGCATTCTCACCCATCTTGTATTGGGAAAGGGCCAAAAAAGCAAAGGAAAGTGTCAGTGAAAGAAGTTGGAAACGAGACTTGCTGTGACAAAAATGAGTGATTAAAATGGCTTAGCAAGTACAGGTCCAAATTGGGTTTGTCTTACTTATCAACAACTCCTAGCCAAATGTGCACAAATGGAGAGTAAACTTGTATGCACCACCTAAATCTCAGCTTCTTGGCTATTTTAGGTGTCAGGACTTTCTGCTGGGAAGATAGGAATGGGGAAGGCAGCAGCTAGTAATACGATTCAAGTTGAGCTTGGGAATGGTGTGTGTGTGTGTCTATATATATAATGATAGTGTGGACTGGACCCTCTTAACCCGTTCAATGAACTGTGTTTTTTGAGCATTTTGGAGCCCCACCATCATCAATCTATTATCAGCCTAACTAGTCATTATCTATACAATCAACTTCAACTATTTTTTATGAACACCAAGATACTCAATTCTTACAGAATCGACTGTAAAACTGTGTTTCTGAGAGGGTAATGTTCGATGATGCGGTCTCGTAGCGCTACAAGATTCGCTCAGACTGTAGATACGATGAATGTCCGACATGTAACACGTGGTGTGGTGTAATTGTGGTTCTTGACTGCGAACTTGAATCATGCAGGGAAAAAGGAGAGGAAGATGGAGAAAACAGGAACAAGACAAGTACAGCTGAGCGGGTGCCAATAACCCAAATTGCGCCGTTTCAAATAATCCATCAACAACATCGAAGACCATGTTTCGGTCAACTCTCTCTCTCTCTCTCTCATCTCTCATGCAAACAATGCAGGGACAAAGACACAACGCCAAGAGAGATGGGGGCTCGGTCACTTCTGAGAGTGGAACACTCCCAGAAGGGAAAGGTCTTTCTTTTACAACTCATGTAACTCGTTATCATGCATAACTCAGTAGAATAAATCATAAGCCGCTTCTGCTCTGCTTTTATCATTGATTCCTGCCTCAGCTTAGGTGAGCATGATACCACTAGCTTTTCCTAGCTAATTTCTAGCAATTAATTAATGGTAAATTTGATTTTTTTTTTTACTATAGTGCACAGAACCAACGAAGTAAATTAAGTTTATTTTGAACTCAGGATTTGTTTAATAATGTATTTGGATATATTTCAAAAGTGTTCTTTAAAATGTTAAAATTATTAAAAAATATTAATTTAAAACTCAAAAAACAATCCTTAGAAACACACAATTAAATCAACATGCCGAACATCCTAAAGAAGAAGAAGAAAAGTGTCATTAAAAAAAATAAAAATCTAGCGAGTGGAGGGTTCCCCAAGTAGAACACAAACCACTTAATCACTGCGTGTCAAATTATAATAGAAAGACAAGAAAAAAGAAAAGGAAAAGGAAAGAAAGAAAGAAAAACAAGGAATAAAGAGATGATTACCTGCATTATTCTAGGCTCGAGCTGGCCCTCTTCTCCCTCAAATGGAGGAGTTCAAGTATGTACAAAAGAGGGCCTTATTAAAAAAAGCAAGAAAAATATAGACATGGGCTGAGATAACCGATGGCTGCACTGCCTCTGCCTCGGACTCCCTCTGAGTTTATATACATGGAGAAAGCAAAAGCATGCAAGGCAACTATGGCGAATTATACTCTATTTAATGCATCGATAAAGGCAACTTTTGTATTGCTCTCCAACGTATCTGCTCTCTCCTCCATCCTTTGTTGAAGGGAAGAATAGATGCTTCTTCCTCCTCCGTACCTTTGAGCATAGAAAATGTTTATGCCATTTGATTAGATGTTGCAGCACCACTGCACAGAATCATGTGGCCACTGGTGCAGAAGGGAGATGATTTTTTCCCGCCACCGCTCCCTCCCTTCCTCCCTGATCCCTCGTCTAAATGCTCTTCTGGTATCATTATAAGTCAGTATCGTGCTTGATCTACGTTCGTTTAGATTAATTCCTAATTAATCCTGAAGCAGAATTATTGACAAATTGCATGTGGATCAAAGTACTTGTCTTACTGGGATCACAATATTGTTAATTGTTGTTGCAACAAATTTATGTGATATGATTGATGTGTTTTTTTTATGAAAGAAGTTTATGTAATAATTTTTCAGTTTTAAAAAAGCATTGAGCTTGTTGAGCTTTTTTTTTTATTTAATCTAAAGAGTGTTTGGAAAAATAATAAAAATTATAATTCTTGCAGCACCACTGCACAGAATCATGTGGCAACTGGTGCTGAAGGGAGATGATTTTTCCCGCCACCGCTCCCTCCCTCCCTCGTCTAAATGCTCTTCTGGTATCATTATAAGTCAGTATCGTGCTTGATCTACGTTCGTTTAGATTAATTCCTAATTAATCCTGAAGCAGAATTGTTGACAAATTGCATGTGGATCAAAGTACTTGTCTTATTGGGATCACAATATTGTTAATTGTTGTTGCAACAAATTTATGTGATATGATTGATGTGTTTTTTTTATGAAAGAAGTTTATGTAATAATTTTTCAGTTTTAAAAAAGCATTGAGCTTGTTGAGCTTTTTTTTTTATTTAATCTAAAGAGTGTTTGGAAAAATAATAAAAATTATAATTCAAAGTATTTTTTATTTAAAAATACATTAAAATATTTTTTATTTTTTGAAATGTAATTTTAATATTAACATATTAAATTGATATAAGAACATATAAGTCAGTATCGTGCTTGATCTACGTTCTTTTAGATTAATTCCTAATTAATCCTGATTAATTCCTAATTAATCCTGAAGCAGAATTATTGACAAATTGCATGTGGATCAAAGTACTTGTCTTACTGGGATCACAATATTGTTAATTGTTGTTGCAACAAATTTATGTGATATGATTGATGTGTTTTTTTTTTTCATGAAAGAAGTTTATGTAATAATTTTTCAGTTTTAAAAAAGCATTGAGTTTTTTTTTTATTTAATCTAAAAAGTGTCTGGAAAAATAATAAAAATTACTTTTTAAAGTATTTTTTTAAAAAATACATTAAATATTTTTTATTTTTAAAAATATAATTTTAATACTAACATATTAAATCGATATAAAAACATAAAAAAAATAATTTAAATCAAAAAATCAAAATTTTATGAACCCAAACACACATTTAATAAATTCAATAATAATTTAAATGTTGGATAAAGTAAATAAGCAAGATTACCGCTAGTATGCTAAGAAACTAATTCAGGATGTGAATGGCCATTTGAATATCATTTGTTTTATGAGAATTTATTTGATCTCAAGTTTTCATTCAAATATGATCCAGAGAATTTTATATATATCAAGCTGTTTTTGAATTTAATGCTTAGTTGAATATATAACAAACTATTTGTAAACCAGCTAACGCTCCACTGTTGTTGTTGTTTTTATTTTATTTTTTTCAATCGTTTTAGAAAATTATATTTTTTAAAAAAAATTAAAAAATAATAATCCTTCTTGATTGCTAATAATATTTGTCAAAAAAAAAATGACAATATTTTATGATATTAATGACATAACACAGAATCTTTTGACAATTAATATGCTCCATCTTTTTTATTATTTGTTGAATTTCTGCAGCTTATAAACTAGGTTAAAAATGATGTTAATGGAAACTTGCAGCACTCAGAACGAACGTCATTTCTCTTCTGAAAAGCTGCAATCACCCAATACCACTCTCGAACCAGCAATTAGACCCCTCTTGGCTGCCGCAAAAGCTGTCACTAACCCAGCTACCAGGTATCGGGATTCAAATATTATTGAGATGCTATATCACGTCTGGTCCAAGATGCTGGGAAAAAAAACGGAGCGTTGGTTTAACTGCTTAGATTTTAAATTTATTTTTTAAAAATTATTAATTTAAATTTTATAAATTTTATAGTTATTAAAAATTTAAATTATTATTAATTTTAAAATCTATATAATTAATTGAAATGTATATAAAATAATTCAGACATTCACATTAAAAAAAATGCTCATAAAAAAAGAAGAAAAAGAAAAAATCAGAATCACAATTTGAATGGAACTGAATGCATGCTACGTTTATCAGAAGGTGACAAACGCACGTTGTGAGATGATTTCTTGAGAGCTAAATGCAGCAACCACCACTGAAAGTGGTTTTCAGGGCTTGACCACCACCACCACCACCTCCTCCCATTTTGGGTGGTGGGTTCCTTCACAGTAGGATGATTGATGAGTACTTGGGGCGATGAAGTGATCGTAAGGCCGTAACTGCATTAAGATGGCCCCTGGACTACTATAGGCTTTTAGGATGATATCATATGCTATTTCTAGCTATCTCTATCCCATGAAAGGAGAGGTTTACTGGTCGAAGAAGTTTGATGATTTTATTGATTTAGCGTGTTGTTCATGGTAGTTTTTAAAATATTTTTTAATTATAAATGTATTGAATAATCTTTTTTAGAATTAATTAATTATTTTTATAGTTAGTATTTTAAAATCATTGAAAATACTAAAAGAATATCAATTTATCATATTTTCAATAAAAAAAATTTAAAAAATAAAAACCATGCAATATCAAACAAACATTATCATGAGTTTGAATTTAGACTGATACAAAAAAAATAATAATATTGTTTGATTATAATAGCATAGTTTGGCTACTCGGTTGATCACGTGTTTGCTAAGAATTTGATTTTTTATTATTTAAAATTAAAATTTTAAATATTTTTAGATCATTTTAATATAATAATATCAGAAATATTTTTTTAAAAAAATATTATTTCAATGTATTTCTAAACAAAAAACATTTTAAAAAATTATCTAAAATTAATAAAAGAGGTATGTTTTTAAAGGCATCTAAAAAGATGATTTAATATTAATTAATACATAAACTAATCCAAAAATGTTTTTATTGTTGAATGAAAAACAATTAGCTTACAACGAGGTATTTTTTTTTATCGCCTTTTATTTTTACATTTACGGCTATGTTGCTCACTACAGGAGTGAAATCAGGGGGAGACAAGCAGGGCTCAAGCCTCTGTAAAACATTTTAATTTTTTTTATTAAGTATTTAAATATAAAATAAAATAATATTTCTATTTTTAATAAATAAGTTTTTTAATAATAAATATTGTTATATTAATTTTGGCCTCCACACTATCTGCTACTAGCTCCGCCACTGGTTCACCAAAGGAGACTTGACATGCGACAGAAGCTAGCAGGGGGGGTGTCTGCTGTATTAATCTAGATTAATCTTCTTTAATTATAGATAATATTCTGTTTATAAAATCGAGTGAAAGAAAGAGTTTATCAAAAAGAAGAAAATGAAGACCAATATTTATCCAAGTTGTTTCAGCAGCAGCAAGATTCATGGTGTAAACAGGTTTAGATTGATGTGAGTGCATGTATGATTCATGAAGGGTCATGTTCTAGATCGATTGCTTCCACGAAATTCATGCATTTCATAAGTGACTACCTTGCATATATCATAGTTCTAAGATCTGGTCTCGTAATTCATCTAAAGATAGGTTTAAATAGCAGATTTCTATGATCAACAGGAAGAGCAGAGTGTAACAGCAGGCGCTGCAGATGTCCAAGATATATGCTTAATCTTAATTGAAGCACAGTTTGTGAATAGTGTATATTAGGTTTATGTTAGTGATGTCCATTTTCAGAACCAAAACTTGTTCATAAGATTAATGCTCCTCTACTTGCTCTATGATAAGTGTGACAGTGACAGTGTCCTCTCTTGCTCCTTCACGTTTACTTGCATTAGGGCATAGAGCATCATCTCCAGTGAAAAATGCCATATTAAAAAATTAAATTAAAAAAATAATTTTTAAAATAGTATAAATATAGGTTTTTTTGATTATATACATTCCAATAATAAAAACTATTTAGAAAAATAAATTATATTTTAATATATTTCATGTTAAATTAGTTTTAATATAATTATATAACTAATTTAGATATCTTATATATAATATAATTATGATGTTATTAATTATATAATTAATATGAATAATTTATAAAAATAACATAATCATTTGTTCTGACAATAAGAATTTCTTTCTATTTGTTCTAACAATCTAATTATACAATTAATGTAATCATTAGGTTTAATTATATTTTTAATAAGATAAAATATAATCGACCTCAAATTAAAATAAACAATCAAAAATAAATTTAAGGTATGTCATTCCATATTTTTATCAATATCAGTTACTATCATTATTTTTCTCGTAACCCATATTTTATCAATATCAGTTACTATCATTATTTTCTTTTAATTTTGTTAAAAATAATAATATAAATAAAAATTATTTTTCGTAACCCATATAAAAAATATAAAATAATAAAGAAATAAAAATCATTATAAATAGCAAATAAAAATCAAGAGTTAAAAAAATAATAAAAATAGAAAAAAATTTTAAACAAATATATTTTTTAATTTCAGTTAATTAACATAATTGATATTATTAATTAACCAAAGAATAATTAACTTTTATTTTCTAAATACAAGAGAAGAGTGAAATTTGCAAGTAATTTTTTTCCCTTCATTTTTGCTTAAATGTTGTCTTCTTCTTTTTGTTAATTTTGCTTTTAAATGAAAAACATTAAT